GCGAAACGTCAGGAGAGAATGCCTCTAGAACATGGCCATATAGCCCGAAAAAACCTACAACAACCCTGTGATCCCAGCCATGAAATCCTTCGACAATAAATAATATTCTGCTATGGTTCAATGCCATGGAAACATGGGAGTTGTAGTTTGGCGAAACATCAGAAGACCTTTTCAAACTATAACCCAGGATTCCAGAACATAGTCAGGGCAATAAATGTGTTGTCAAACTACATTCATTCTGCACTGTTGATTCACCCTTAAGCAAGTTACATTTTGCCACTTCCTCCCTCTGCGATATAACCGAAAGCACCCAAGATTTGTTTTGCAGTCTCCCATTCAAGGACTAACCAAGGCTGGCCCTGCTTAGCTTCGAAGTTCAGGCAAGATGTGAGACCTTGGGTGTTTGTGCCTTCAAGTCCAGTTGATGTATGGCCACGCAATGAAATTCCTAATATTTTCTTAGACAAAGAATTCTGCCCATTTCTGCCTTCGAAAGAGAGCAATTAAATATGGCATTCAGTGGTCTCCCATCCAATTTGCAATCAAAGATGATTCTGCTTAACTTCCAAAATCAGATAAATCTGGTGTCTTTGTGTGTGTATGTGGTTCAAGTTATCAGGGCAGTTCATATTTTTTTTAGCCAAGGAATACACAATGGTTTGGCAGTTCCTTCTGAAATGTGGCATCTATTGGTCTCCCATCCAATTACCAACCAAGCTGATGCTTAGTTTCCAGGATCAATTAAGATTTGATGCCTAAAGATGCCATAATTCCTCCCTATTTGCTCTGTTGGCTAGGTCAGGAAAGAGTGGAAGATACTCTTATCAAAAGAGTATTTAGAGTAAAGCTTCTTAAACCTTTCCACTTAAGACCCCTTTTGGCCTTAGAACTTTTTACATTTTTTATTTTAAAAAAACCCAAATGATACTGAGACTAAACCAGCATTTGCAAGGTTTGCTAAACAGGCTGATTTATGAAGTACAGCTGAGGCATTTTCTTCAGAGTCCACTGTAAACACTGCACAGCTTTGTATAAATGTCAAAAATAGCCACTAGGTGGCATTCAGAAACCCTTTTCTGTTGACAAATTTTTCATGACCCCAACATTGAGGTAAGGCAGTGTTTCTCAACCTTCCTAATGCTGACCCCTTAATACAGTTCCTCGTGTTGTGGTGACCCCCAACCATAACATTATTTTTGTTGCTACTTCATAACTGTAGTTTTGCTACTGTTATGGATCGTAATAGGCAGGATGTATTTTCATTCACTGGACCAAATTTGGCACAGATACCCAATACGCCCAAATTTTAATACTGGTAAGGTT